TAGCTGTTTATATATTTATAATTAATTTATTTTTGTGTCCTAAAATATTTTAATTAAAAGAAAATATATAAAAGTGGGCAAGGCTGTGCCGGTAAAACTTAATCACGTGACTAAAAGTTTATTTGGTATGAAATGTAAAAATAAATTTTCTAAAATATCACAATGTCGTGTCTTCATATACAGGGTGTCGCAGAAATAAGTGCAAATATTTTAAGGGGTGGTAGATCTCGATAAAAGAAACATATTCTTTCTCTATCGTTTTTCACATAAGTCCAAAATAACGGATTTATTTTACTTTGAAAATTTCCAAAAAAAATGATTTTTTGCAAACATTTTCAGAACCACTGGATCTTTTCTGGATTTTCTTTCTTGTAAATTTAATCTACTACCTATGTTGCCATATTATCAAGAAATTATGTTTTTTAACTAAAAACTAAAAAAATTTCCAAAAAAATTTTCAAAAAATACCGAATTTTAAAAAAAAATGTTCGCGAAAAAACCTTATAGGCGTGTTTCTGGGGTTGGACTATACTACCAGTTAAAATATTTGCACTTATTTCTGGGACACCCTGTATAGCCGTTCCACTGTGCGGCGTCCATTCTTAGTTGGCCACACGGTACTTAAATAAATAAAGACCAAACTATTTTTTTAATATTAATAATAATGATATTTTTTTAATACTTATTTTCTTATTAATAATATATAAACGTATTCTAAAAATTATACCAGAGTTTGATTTGTTTATAAATGTTATTTTTATTATTAAGAAAAAAAATACATATGAAGTTTTTTTATGATTTGAACTACGTGTATGCTCTTTTAGATGTTTAACAGTAAAGTCATTAAAGCTAAAAAATAACAGTAGAGTACAATACTGTTATTACAAAGTCCAATACTGCCGCAATTGCGCTATTAGCGCTGACGTTATTTTGACATTTGCGTTTGTCGAACTTCGAGTTATGGCAACACAAAATAGCGTTGATCGATTTTGACGATTATGCCAATATTTTTAAAAATTTAGCCTTAACCTAGTTTTCTGATTTTGTCAATCAAAAGAGCATCTATATTCATAATTTTTCATTATTTTTATAAAAAATAGCTATTAAATATATCAGAAGTTTTAATTGGTGTCTAAAAGAAAATGTGTCTAAGAAAGAGTACAATTTAACCCAGTAAAGAGTTATCTCAATTTTTATAAAAATACAGTATCTCAAGTGATAAAATAACGTTCCGAAACTGTCAAATTACCGCACGGTGTCTTCTCCACCTAAATAACGGCATGCGGTAACGTTAATAGGGAGTTTTTAGGCCGTCTAAACATATTCCGTTATACCTTATACCTTAGACAAGGAAAGAGAGGGGACGGCTAACACGCATATTCTCCCGTGATCGGTTAGTGAGGCCAAAATTCGATCGGCGGCCATACTTTGGTGACAAAATTTCGAGGTGACACCGAGAGAATTTTTATGTTTTTTGTGACAACTGTTTTGTTTTATATTTATAAACTGTATTGTTTAGTATGGTGAGATGTTCAGCGTATGGCTGCAAAGGCCGAAGCGAGAAAAAAGTGACTGGAATTACTATTTTTAATAATTCCAAGTACTATTTTCAATATCCTTTATTATAATTAATGTTTGAAACTATAAATAATGTTACTCAGCATGGATTTCTCCAGTGGCGTAGGGAATTATAATCAGAGAAATACAATTTCTGCAATAAACTTTTTTTATATATTTTACATGTAAAAAAATGTATAAAGTATTGTTATCAAATATGTAAAATAATTGTAAACTATAAAAAAACATTTAAAATTCTAGTGATAAAAAATCTATATGTATATTTGTTATATAAAACTTAAATATACCTGCCAAGATTTGCTGGGGGTGGACAAACTTGTGGTGGGCTACTTGTTACTACATATATTTTTTTAAATATTCTTTCAAAAAATTTGCTAATTTAGGTGTATAATAATAGACTCAGTGAGTAATTAATAAAAATTTAAATATAAATAAAATAACACAAAGCTTCTAGAATTGTTTATTTTTTTGTGGAAAATTAGGATATTCTTATGATTGAAGGTAACAAATATTAAAAATTACATTATTCATTGAATCCGTACGCAAGTGTGAAGGGGAATGGCTAGATTCATTATTATACCGTATGGTCGAAAAAAACGACGTCCAAGTTGGCTTGTAAATGACGATCGACGACATTCCCCATATAATTTTACATATAAAATGACAGCGATCTTCATTTCATAGCTATCGCTGACGCCGTCTTTTTCGATGTCGTTTTGTATAGTTTTTATGTCATTTTATATGTAGAATTATATGGGGAATATCATCGATCGTAATTTACAATCCAACTTCAGACGTCGTTTTTTTTCGATTATAGGGTATAATAATGAATCTAGTCAATTCCCTTCACACTTGCTTATGGATTCAATGAATAATGTAATTTTTAATATTCATTTGTGAAATTGTCATTTCCAAACAAACAAGACGCCGTTTTTTTCGATCATACAGTATATATGTATATACACGCTTAAAACGTATGTTATTACATTATTTTTTATTTAATTATACATTATACACACGTTAATAAATAAATAATTGTCTTGATAATCAGTCCACTGTGACTGTTAAATAAATTTTGCATTATCGACTTAGATATTCTAATATTATAAAGGTGAGACTATAAAATACAAAACTGTATATGCATTACTCAAAAATGAACGATATATTAGTTTACGTTTTAATAAATATTTTGTACCGTTTAGGTACAAGCTAATTTCTGATGCTACACCATTGGAGAATAGGTCTGTCAACAAAATTTAGTTTTCTACTGCAAATTATAAATTTGTGCATATTGAAAGACCGTACAAAGTTTGAAAACAAATACTCATATACTTTTCGAGTTATTCGTAATTCAATTTGAATCCTTTCGTCGAGGCGGGAAAACGCTGCCAGGAGAGCTACCGTGGGTGTGACGTCACATGCTCGCTAATCGCGCGCAGCGCTTTACCAGAGACATAACAGACGGATCCGTTGCGCCGTTTTCTTGTATCCCTGTCTAAATTTAATTAGATTAGTTACATAGTTGTAGTCAAGTTTTATCTGTACTACAAGTTACGCCACTGTATTCAGAATTATTTGTACCGATTCTGTTTTACGCTTAGTCATAAACGACCCTTCAATTATTATTAGTCGATGGAAAGTCCTTATTGTAAAATTATATAGCCTCTGTTCAGACACGTTTGTATTTTACGCAAACAAAGGATCTACAAGGTATAGTTTTAACACTTAATCACAGTTTTTAATTCAATTCAGTTCCAAGATGTCGCTTTTTACTCTACTTTTCAACACGCACTTTACTTTTTACCTCTCTAAGTTCAGACAGTTCAGAGTCGGCAATTTTTATATCAAATTTTACTTTTAAAACTAATTGTTTAAGTTTTCCTTATATATTCAAATCTTCCCATTCAATTTCGAATATCTTTTTACAATGTACAGTCTATCATCGACTGCTTGGAAATTGAAATTCAAAAACCTAGCGACCCTGTTCAACAAACTGGTCAACAAACAGCTGACTTGGTCCGAGTATAAAAAGTGTAACACTATAAAGTGTTTGATATCATGTACCCCCCTCCTGATGGTTTCATAAACTTTATATCTTGTGAGTATGGAGGACGCGCAAGCGATGTTGCAATTTTTGAAGATTGTGGATATTTAAATGTTCTTCCAGAAAATTGCGTTATTATGGCAGACCGAGGTTTTAAACAAATTGAAACATCCCTAAGGAAAAAAATGTACATTAATCAGACCTCCAAGTGTTGTAAGTAATGTAAAAGTGACCAAGGATGACGTTCTGTTTACAAAACGAATTGCAAGTGTGCGAATACATATTGAACGTATAATAAATCGCTTGCGACATTTTAAAATGTTAGGATCCCACTCTACTATTTCTTCAGCAATGGTTCAAAAACTAGATAACATAGTTAGTATTTTCTGTGCCATAATAAACTTACAAAAACCCATTATAATACAATAGTACATTAAGATTATACTGTGTCTAAATAAAACAATGGTTTCCTAAACGATATTTTTATTAAGATCTTAAATGTTTATTCAGTAAAACTGCATACAGTAATTTAAAAATGTTGGTTATCCAAAAGTGTATGGCAGACAATAAGTCAATAAGACCTTTTGTAAAATCCTCATCATATTTAACGTTGATAACAGTAATTTCCTTGCCTTTGTAGTTTCAAAATTGGGGTGTGCTACGCAAAATATTTCTTTTTCAACACCTCTTGCTAACATTTGCAGATTTATTTGTGCTAAGTATTTTTTCCTTATTTCGTTATTGTTATTAACATATCTACTTGCGGTAAATTATGTGAATCTCCTTTCTGGAAACCCTCCTCCATATTTAGCAACAAATACAACTTCTTTTACGGTATTCAACAACAAAAATAATATTGTAACTGCTGTAAATGTCGACTGTACTTCAATACCTTGTATTGAAGTACATTGAGTGTCCCAGTCAAACTGAATCACGGTCTTGCCGTCGCAAGTGGAGCAGCGTGCGGCAGGCATGTGACGTCAGGCCAATGAGAGCGCGTTTATTTAATTTGAACGGAGCGCATAACTTCAAGAGTCTCTCTTGTCAAAGGAATTTATTTTTTTTGAAAAAAAGTTATTTAATTGGTATTATAATACTAAAACATTAATTTTTTACCGCTTTTAGTGCATTTTTTTTTAGTGAACAGACCTATTTCGTGTGGTGACAACTTGCCTCACTTTCAGCTGCCGTATTACCTGTCCCCTCTCTTTCCTTGTCTAAGCCTTATACGTTATACAGAGAATGCGCATTGATACTTAAATAACCGAATACGCTAATAAGGGATAACGTACCGTATGATCGAGAAAAAACGGCGTCAGCGATGGCTATGGAATGAAGATTGCTGTCATTTTATATGTAAATTTATATGGGAAATGTCATTGATGTTCATTTCCCAGCCAACTGGACGCCGTTTTTTTTCGATCATACGGTACTACGCTACTTACGGACAAATATCGGTAACGCTAATAACGTGAAAGTTTGTACACTGTTGTCGGATCTACTGCAGTCATTAAACATTTAATTAAAATAAATGTTAGGCAATGTAGTTTTATGAATAACTCTATATCTACTCGGAACGAATCCTCGAGTATTTCCTCGTCAGATTAATGACCTGCTTAGTAAAATATTATTAAAAAATTTATCTTCTAAACTTAAATTTGGCAACACCGGTATTGAATACCAGCTGTCAACAGATAGCACAAATGTTAATAGCACGAGTTAATAGTTGTAACAATCACCAAACTAAGAAATAAGACTCAACCTCTGACTAACATTCAATGATTCATACCTATAAATTATTTGACGCTTTGATTAGAATAATCGCCACCTGCCAAAATAAATAACGTAGTACATCCTGTAGTCAAGCCGCAAAAACGCTTTTCTGAAGACGCCAAAGGAAACGCAATTCGTTATTTTGCCAAGAGTGCACATTAGCAGTATAACGGATAACGTAAGGATAAGGTATAACGACTTAAAGCTGCAGAGGGCCTAAAAATTCTCTAATAGCGCACAAGTTGCATAGTTCATTAAAAAACTGTATATATGTTTGATAAATATATTTTATGAGAAATAGCAGTGTACGTAAAATTTATTACGAAATAATTCTATTATAAAACTGATTGCTTTATATATTCGCCATTTTTTTAGGTTTTATACAGCCGGTGGCGACCTTTGATGAGGCCGTTACTGGCTGAAATACATTTTAGTAGATGGAGCAGATGAGTATGTATAAGAATCCAAATTTTCGAAAAATCTTATCACGTCACCCGTTATCAATAACTTACCAACAGCCATGAATCACCAAGTGTATAATATGTCATGTGTATATATATCATCGTGCCGATTATTGTTCAAATTATTTTGGAGAAAGTAATATATTGTATTCTAATTTTTTTTTAAATGTACTTAATTACCCTCGAAGAAGTGGGGGACGGTATCACCACTTTGAGGTTTACACTTTGAACTGAATTAATATCAAAGATTTATCATTCTCAAAGATATATCTTATTCTGATCTCTAAAAAAATAAATATTTTTATAAAATACACCATATATAAGAGAAAACTAATTTAAAGATCTTGGTTTTCAAAACTCTACATTAATTTTGTCATTTTATATTCACTTCTTACAACTTTTTGCAAAGGCATTTCAGGGTGCTTTTTCTTCTGATGTTTTTGCATTGTTGTCTTATCATGATAAGCGTTGCCACAGGAAATACACTGAAAAGGTTTCTCGCCTAAAATACATTTTTAAGATTAAAATAACCTAATTAAGCTGGAAAAAAAAATACCAGTGTGTGTACGCATATGTATTTCCATTATGTGCTGGAATGGAAAAGTTTTTTCACATATTTTACATTTAAATGGCATTTTTCCAGTATGTTGATACATATGAACCTAAAAAATATTAGATTTTTTAATGTACAATGAAAAATTATTAAGTAGTAGGATAGATATTAACTTAATAAAAACTTTTTCACTTTGTGAAACTTCGGTTATCTTGATTATATTATTATATTTGGAACGTTTTGAGATAACCGTAAGAGTTCAATTATTATTCAATACCTATTTGTTTTTTGAATATAAAGATAATTAATTATATAAGATATATGGATCATTAATTAATAAAATTAAAATATAATATATATATATATATATATATATATATATATATATATATATATATATATATATATATATATATATATATATATATATATATATATATATATATATATATATATATATATATATATATATATATATATATATAGCCCTTTTATCGGAGCCCTTTGCTTCGTAGGAGATATAGGATCCTATATATATATATATATATATATATATATATATATATATATATATATATATATATATATATATATATATATATAGATTTATTAAACCGCTTATACGAGCCCAAAAAACTACGTGGCTTCATTGGGCTCAGACCCGATTTCGACATTTCAGGCCCGGGGTCGGGTCTGAGTACGATTTCAGTGGTTATCGTCTAGAACGGTTTCCCCACTTCCCTGACCAAATTTCAGCTGGGCCTGAAAAATGGTTTTATGTTTTTATATACGATTGGGGTACACCGGTATTGTCACGGGCGGCGCCACCTTCGACATTAGTATAAGTGTATAAGCCGATTTACGTTGAATCGATGTATTCAGACCCAAGAACCGGCAACACGGTAAAGCAAACTATTAAAGGGAAACGAAGATATAGCCGTGTTATATTTGGTAGAAAACAAAATGCTCATACTTTAATTAGAATATTAAGAAATTCAGACAAAAAAAATCCGGTCGTTCGGCTAATAAATATTAGAAACAAAATTATTTCGATCGGCGGGTCAAAAATTGTACGAGTACCTAAAAATTTATTTCGATGCTATGATTTCGTTGTAGAAGTAACTAAATTTTTTTTCATCTAAATCGATCAGCGCGTCGTGTCAAAGAATTGTAGGAGTAACTACAAATTTATTTCGATGCTGTGATTTCGCTGTAGAAGTACCTAAAATTTTTTCGTCTAAATCGATCGTCGTGTCAAAAAATTGTACGATTACCTAGAAATTTATTTCGATACTATGACTTCGTTGTAGAAGTATTTAAAAATTATTTTCATTTAAATCGATCGTCGTATACCGGGTGCGTCTCAAAAGTTGCTTACCCCTACAACTTTTTTATTTTGTCAGATAAAAAAACGAGTTTTGGTATGTTTTTGTTATTAAAATGATAACATAAATTAGGATTGATTGACGTATTCAATTGTTTTTGGTCACTTCCTGTTTCACCGGAAATGACTGCAACTTTTGATTTTTAAATGACACCCCCGGTATGTTTTTACATTATTCGATAGAAAATCACACTCTGAATAGAATGGCATATCATAATATGTCAATTTTTGACATTTTCACATATGATTTATTTGTAACATGCGGTTCATAATGACAATTTGACTCGAGTACCAAATTGTGGTACCAAATTATTCGTAGAAAAATGCTTTTTCCAAATATGCTATCGAGCCACCTTTGTTCCGTTTGAAAAAATTGAGATATGATTAAAAATTCGATTTTGATATCTTATAACGGGCCCGGACAAGACACGAAAATCATTAGACTATCAAATCTATTTTTCCAAGGCTCCTTGATTAAAAATTAGTGTTTTTAACACATCCATGGCACTCTATAATAGATAGAAATTTAAAATAAGATTTTTTAAGCAAAAATGTCAAAAGTTGACATATTATGATATATTATTCTATTCAGAGTGTCATTTTCTATCGAATAATGTAAAAACATACCGGGGGTGTCATTTAATAATCAAAAGTTGTAGTCGTTTCCGGTGAAACTGGAAGTGACCAAAAACAATTGAATACGTCAATCAATTCCAATTTATGTCATATACTAACATACCAAATCTCGTTTTTTTTATCCAAAAAAAAATAAATAAAAAAGTTATAGCGGTGGACCACTTTTGAGACGCACCCAGTATAAAATGACAGCAACCTTCATTTCATAGCCATCGCTGACGCTGATTTTTTTTCGATTATACGGTAGCTAATCAGTATAATAATTAATTTTATTAGATTACTACGTTCACTAAGATCTAAAATAGTAATTTTAGTGTAACAAAAATGTTGATTGCTACAAGTAATAACGTTGTATATTCAGTTTACAGCTGGATGCTATCTACCAACACCCTGTAAATATGACAAACACGTTCTATGGTTGCATCTCTATAATATGTTCTACATTCTATCTATATTTACTTCGTAGTCGAAAACTTAGTTAGAGTAATATATGGTAATATAATATTAATATTCATTGATTGCAATATGAATGAGAATAGTGCTTTGTTTTAATCATAATTCTAATAAATTGAACTTGAAAGTATGGGTTTACCAGAAAAGTAGGTGGTTCCCATTCTATACAAATAGGGAATTCCCAGAAGTTCATGCTTTTAAACCTACACTTTTTTTACTACTTTACTGCTATAGGAATTTTATTTAAATTTAAATGATTACATTACACTTTTAAACATTTTGTTTACAGTTTCATCCAAACTCAACTCGCCAGATTAGACTTTAAATTATTTATATTTTGTGATGGGAATTCGTTACAATTATTTTGTTGGGTGTCGAAAAATAAACTTTATGATAAAACTCGAAGAATTTCAACAAATCACTTTTATTAACAAACTGTACGTTTCCGTGACAAATTAAATCATATGTTTTTTCTACCTACTGTCCCTCGCTCTTTTTTATAATGGACTCGTCCAAGCGGTCCGAGAGCCAAGAGGGGCCCTATAATAATAATACCGTATGATCGAAAAAAAAACGGCGTCCAGTTGGCTTGGAAATGACGATCAATGATATTTCCCATATAATTTTACATATAAAATGACAGCGATCTTCATTTTATAGCCATCGTTGACGCCGTTTTTATTCGATCATATGGTAGTTCTCTGTTCCAATTGAAGAATAGACTTTACTTATTAGATAAGTATACACATGGCATATGTATGATTCCAAAAAACGGCGTTAATTTACCTTTGAAAACAATCGTCAGAATCGATCGTCGTGTCAAAAAATTGTACGAGTATCTAAAGTTTTTTTCATCTAAATCGATCACCGTGTCAAAAAATTGTACGAGTATCTAAAAATTTATTTTGATGCTATGATTTCGTTGTAGAAGTATCTAAAAATTTATTTCGTGCTATTATTTCGTTATAGAAGTACCTAATTGTACGTAGAAATACCTAGAGATTTATTTCGGTACTATGATTTCGTTGTAGTAGTACCTAAAATATTTTTCGTTTAAATCGGTCGTCGTATTTGTGTTTTAACATTATTCGATACAAAATTACACTCTGAGGGTGCATCCACACTATTCTAAAAACGGCGTATCTGCGTAACGGCGTAACGACCTTGAATCGATTTCCAGTACTTCTATGGGCTGAAATTTTTGACAGATGAATTTGACAGATAAAATTTCTGATAGATGAATTTTTCAGCCAATAGAATTACTGGAAATCTATTCAAGGTCGTTACGCCGTTACGCCGATACGCCGTTTTTAGGATAGTGTGGATACCTAAATCTATCGAGGCGACGCGACGCGACGCGAAGGGTCAAAAATTGTACGAGTAAAAAACTTTAGGTACTTCTCTATATGTATAACCATATGCGAAAATGTCAAAAAATTGACATATTATATGTCATTCTATTGAGGGTGCATCCACACTATCCTAAAAACGGCGTATCGGCGTAACGGTGTAACGACCTTGAATCGATTTCCAGTAATTCTATTGGCTGAAATTTTTGACAGATCAATTTGATAGATAAAATTTCTGACAGATGAATTTTTCAGCCAATAGAATTACTGGAAATCTATTCAAGGTCGTTACGCCGTTACGCCGATACGCCGTTTTTAGGATAGTGTGGATGCACCCTCAATAGAATGACATCATAATATGTCAATTTTTTGACATTTTCTCATATGGTTTATTTGAAATTGTAACATGCGGTTCATAATGACAATTTGACTCGAAATACCATGTGTGTGGTACCAAATTATTCGTAAAAAATGCTTTTTCCAAATATGCTAACGAGCCTCCCTTGTTCCGTTTGGAAAAATTGAGATATGATTAAAAATACGATTTGGGCATCTTATAACAACGGGCCCGGACAAGACACGAAAATCATTAGATTATCAAATCTATTTTTCCAAGGCTCCTTGATTAAAAATTAGTGTTTTTAACACAGCCATGGCACTCTAGATTGAAATTTAAAATACAATTTTTTTAAAGCGAGAATGTCAAAAGTTGACATATGATATGTCATTCGATTCAGAGTGTCATTTTCTATCAAATAATGTAAAAATATACCCGGGGTGTCATTTAAAAATCAAAAGTTGTAGTCATTTCCGGTAAAACAGGAAGTGACCAAAAACAATTGAATACGTCAATCATTCCTAATTTCCGTCATATACTTACATACCAAATCTCGTTTTTTTATCTAAAAAAAATTAAAAAGTTATAGCGGTGAGCCACTTTTGAGACGCACCCGGTATAAAATGACAGCAATCTTCATTTCATGCCACCGCTGACGCCGTTTTTTTTTCGATTATATGGTAGTTAATCAGTACAATAATTAATTTTATTACATTACTACGTTCACTAAGATCTAAAATAGTAATTTTAGTGTAACAAAAATGTTGATTGCTACAGTAATACGTTGTATATTCAGTTTACGGTTGGATGCTATCTACCAACACCATATAAATATAACAAACACGTTCTATGGTTGCAGGTTGCATCTCTATAATATGTTCTATCTTCTATCTATGTTTACTTACTATGTATTCGAAAACTTAATTTGAGTAATATATGGTAGTATAATA